AAAAAAAAAAAAAAAAAAAAAAAAAAAAAAAATGCGTTAAATAGGAAAAAGTAAAAATAACATATAATTCATTATATAAGACAGATCAAAATTTATGATTTGATGCAAGAAAAAAAAATTAAATAAATTTAATTAATTGAAAAATGTACAAGGGTTTTTGTTGAACTTTTGGAAAGCTTATAGCCATTTCGAACTATTTGAATTCCACTGTATATCGTATATCGCATCATCGAGGGTCGATTTCAATGAACGTAACTGTAATTATTTTATTCTTCGATTTCAAACTCTCGAAGTAGAATTTTAATAAATTTAAATGATGAACATATTAATATTTTGCATTTTATTTTCTATTTTTATTTATTATTTAGCATTTCATGTAAGTTTTGGAGTAGCAAGCTCTACACTGCTGTCAAAATTTGACAGATTTTTGCTGCCGCTAAGCTTCCAGTTTATATAACATATCAGTAATGGAAAACTTTTGTTTTCAACACACCAACAACACTTGACTTTTCTTTTTATTTTTGTTTTTAATAGCCAATTTTAATAGTTTTTAATTGTTATTTTATAGTATTTTAAACGCAACTGTTTTTAACTTCCGCACACACACTCACTCACACACACGAACCATGTTTGATAGACTTTCCGTACCAGAGGCAGCCATCGCAAAGCACCTGGAGCCATGGGAGAAAATCAAGTGGAGGGATGATCAACTGCACACCATCTATAACGACTGGGGCACTTACTTTTCGCGGAACGCGAAGCTGAACCTTGGCACTAAGTATTTTGATGCTGCGCTAAAGCTTAGCCCCGAGAACATTAACTCCCTGCTGAAGAGGAGTCAGGTGAAGCGGGCAAGGGCGTGGCCAATGGAAGGGCTTGCTGACGCGATGCGCTCAAAAGGTTAAGCATCAAATATTGAACCTTTTTCATAATATTTCTATATCTTCGAGCTACCACAGCGATTTTCAAGCGTGACAATCCTCGCGGCTCGAGTCGCGAAATTGATTTGGAGATCTGTGATGCACTCATCGAATCGAATAAGTTCGAGGAAGCAATGAGATTCGCCTGCTCCAATATGAAAGACCTCACCTATTCGCATGCACTGGCCATGGAGAAGCGTATATTCCTGGTAGGTAGAGCATATCCCAGCATGGCACGGAAATATTCCATTACCCAACTTGCTCTCAGATCAATCGTATCGTTAGCGACATGTTATCGACTGAAACAGAATCGTCTGTGTATCGCCTGATAACGAGCATGATGAAGGACATAGCCACACAGCCCAAGGACGTGAAGTCAGACTGTGATGTGCTGAGCATAGTACAAAAACAGGTAACGATATCAATTGCTCTCAGCTCCATTCAAATGCAGAATCTCATACCTCTTTCGTACTCGTGCTCAGCCGAAGATTCTCTCGCCGCTGGAGAAGAAGCGGCTTGAGCGTCGATTCAAGACATTTACCCAGGCCTACGTGAATAACAGCTGGATGGACGTGACGTTTCTGAAGAATCTGCGCGATAATCCAAATCTTTTACTGAAGCAAAGTGTTCAGTCATCAGAGTATTTGCAAAATCTGACCAACGAGCGGTATCACACCCTGCGAAACTTTACGGTGAGGCTTCATTGAAGATATTCTACGAGTAGCTGCAATTCTCATTATCATTTGATCTTAGAAAATGCTGCATGCCCGCCAGCCCATGTACAGCAAAAAGTGTCCCAATAGGGAGCTCTCGCGCAAGTTCCAGGAGGAGAACTTCTTCCGCATACAGAATCAAACGAGGCGAAATATGTTCAAGACGCTGCAAAACATACGAACTTTGATCAGACGAAATGATCTAGCTGTAAACTGCTATATATATGATTTGTATATTATATAGATTCACAAGTTATTCATTTTAGAAATTGACAAAGTTCGTGGCCAACGTGATGGACTCCTATGTGGCGATCAAGACGCACCGCGTTATGCCTTGGAAATTTGAATTCATTAATGAGGTCTTCAACTACTTGGGTTTGGCCCGCATTAATGAATACAAAATTTCAAACATATACAAATCGATGGGTCGATCGAATCTGCTGGATCTATTTAGGATCTCACATCATGTCTCCAATGTGACCAATGTAATCACGAATGATTTAGGCCAGATCAAAAGGGAGAAGTTCGAGGATACAAAGGCGGTGCTCAAGTGAGATATAGACATTTGTATATTCATTTAGCAGAGTTGTATCTCATTCTTATTGCAGACACCGCATGGATCAGTTCGAGAGGCGCCTGCGATTCGCCAAATATACCATCGAGCGCTGTTATCTGTACCACGAGGCGGCGCAGGCGCACCTGAATAATCATTCCTTTGACAAATGCTGTCAGCTGGCCCGCAAAGCAATGGATGGTATGCATGATCACTTATCATATCGGCAGATCTCTCTTTTATATCATCTTGCAGAAGCCGAGAAGGGTGGACACTATGTGTGGGGCGCTTTGAGCGCCCTCATCGCCTGCAAAGCGCACACCGTACTGGGCAAAGTGGAGAAGCAGAAGCAAATGCTAAATGAGGCCTTTCGGTATGCCAAGCAACTGCAGAACATCGATCTCATTCTGTTCATTGACATTTGCCTGCGGGTCAACAACGAGGAAATGGAACTGAAGACCGCCCTTACCTATGAGGGCTGCGGAAGACGTCGATTGCGGCGGCTGATGACCAGCCTTGACACCTCTTGTGACAACTCTATCTATACAAATTCCAATTCATTTGCTCCCGAGCCGTCCACAGATAACTTCAAGGAATGAATTATGAATAGTGTTTGTTTCTTATAAATAATATAATAAGTATTATATGTGCATACGTATATACATACATGAATATATAAGATGTATGTATATAGATGTATGTATATACATATGTATATATAATAGCAATAAATATATATAGATATACTCTGCTATCGCAGTTGCCTTTCGACTATGTCCACAAGTTTAAAGTTTGCCGCAAAACTTAGTGAGGTTTTTCAATTTTTCAGTTTTCCGTTCTAGCTGTGCTGCTTTAGCCAAAGTTTTCTTCCAGCACAAATGCCGCAAAACACACGAAAGAGAAAACATTAACGCGTCTTGGACATTCAATCACTGCAAGTGCTGCAACAACAACAACTTTTCTTACAACTTTCCACTCTCGTCTTATTTATAAACATAAAATATTTCTTGCCAAAAGTGGGCAGCATTTTCTAAATTCTAGCTCTGGGTTCTGTTAGTTTCTCAACAATTATGAGAGTCCCCTGAGTCGATAGGTTTATTTCCCTAAAAGAACTCCTTTCGTGTTAATGATTCCTAAATAGAAATATGTAAATTAATGCAAATAAATAAATAGGAATAAGTGTTGAAAATATCATCTGTGACAATGCCATATGTATCGATAAAAGCGTGTACCATATCTAGGAGTTGCCATATGTATCGATAAAAGCGTGTACCATATCTAGGAGTTGGTCACAAATAAACCATTGTTGGCACAGTTTTTTATATATTTCAATTTATATATAACTTCCGTCCAAAAATGTTTCTATCCAACAATAGGTGTATGTGAAATATGTAAATATCGAATAGATAAGCGCATCAAGCATAAATATTTTATATTTCATGCTTCTTCGACTGCCTTTGCCATCTGCCCTGTTCGCGTAGGGGAATCGAGCGTCGTCGATGCTTAAGCTCAACAGCTTGCAGCTTGTTAGGGCAAACTTTTCGCATGCGGCATCTGGGCTGGGCGACGCATGGGCGGTGCTGGGGGGCGTGGTGAGCGTAAATCAGGATTTCTTCAGCTGTTCACGCCCACTGCGGGCGGAAGTACCGCTAGCACTGCACAAAAGACGCAAATAAATGAAGCCATTTGTTGTGCTCTGCGCTGATTTTTGATGCAAAGGCTGCCGCTCGAGTCGCACCCAGTCGCAGCAGGTCACAGCAAAGTTTCCTGCCACCTGCCATTGAAAATTGTTAACAATTTCCATTAGTTGCTTGTCATTTAAATTCCGCATGTATTTTTAAAATTCAGCACGCCAAGTCAGCCCCCGTTTCACACCTTCAGCTGGAAGCGATCTCCCTCCCCAGCCCCTCCCCAGCCCCATCCAGCTAGTTTCTGCTGCTGCAGGTGTTGTCCAACTTTGTTCGCAGTCAAGTCAAGAGTTTCGTGGGGCATACAAATGATGTACATGCAACGGAAGTGGATAATTTAGCAGCGGAAATCATTTGTCGCCCTTTTTGTCAGCCGTTAGTCCAACAACATTTTTCCTCCTTTAATTTATGACTTGACCATAATTAATTGAAGCACAGCTAAGAACTTCACAAGAATTCCGGATGCCAGAGAGAAACAATTCGTTAATTTTGAAGGCACTGAATATACACAAGAGTTGATATAGCTGCAATACTATGGATAGGTTCAATAATTTAATTTAGCTGCTTTTATACATATGGTAAATGCTTAGTTTATGTTTTTATTTATTTTTTTTTTTTTAGTTTTTTATTTTTTTAAGGCTTTTCTGAGCCTTTTTAAGGCGAGAAAACAATGCTTTCTTTTGAGCATTTTCAAAATTTGTAAAATATAAAAAAAAATAATAATAAAATAAAAATAATTAAGTACCAAATTATATTTACTAAACTGCTCAATACTTTTAAAAGAATTTATAATGAACTAGCAGATCATTTTACTTAAGAGTATTCTTTTAGCTGTACGCTAAGTGGAAAAACAACTCTGATACTCTGTTGCCAACTATTCAGGGCTTACCCAATACAGATTAACTAGCAAAAAAAATAAAAATTTGAATTTGATTTTTTTTTTTTTTTAAGAGGTTGAGAGTTTCATCTTTGGCGCTGCACAAAATTTTATTTGAGTGCTGCCTTAAAATCAAAAGCAGTTCTTGCATCACAAAATTCTAATAAATTATTAAAAACTGATCCACAATTTTAGTATAATAATTTGAGCAATAGGCGCATTATATTTCATTTTAAGATGAAAAGATAATTTATATTAAGTATACGAATCGAACCGCTCAATTTTTGTAATAGAACTGCATTACTCATGTTACCTTAAAATAATACTTAAAATTTAAAATTCCTCACCAATCTCACTTTCTCAAAACTTATTAAAGGCACTGCAATGCGATCTGTGCCATTTGTCATTTACATAAAATTTCAAGGCATTACTTTGGATTTAATGGTTACTCGAGTCCATTTCTGTCCAAGAACAATTGCAGAAAGCAGCTTTAAGCTGTTCCGAATTACCGCAAATTGCGCTCAATGGAGTTGCTGAAGCGGATTCAGAAATGTCTTCAAGCTGATGCTTTGTGCTTTTCCCCTGCAAAATTGCACAAAGCCCAATACGAACAAAAAGAATGCTCGTTAGGGATGGGGCCGGGGCAGGGGCAGGGGCAGGAGGAGTGGGGTTGTCAGGGCAAAACAAAGCCAATTGGCAGCAGGCAGCTAACAAACTGCAACTCAACTTTGTAGACAGACCGGAGGCATTTGCTGTATCTGCTATTATTATTGTTGTTGTTGTTGTTGTTATTATTATTGTTGTCGACGTCAACGCCGACGCATGCCATAAAAATGCAGGAGCAGAAAATTTGCAGCTTGCAAGCAATTAAAAGCGCAGCAAAGCAAATAAATGGCCACACCCCTGATCTAGTAACGCCCACAGCTATTGTGGACTTTGACTAAGCGAGTGTCGTCTCTTCTCGCTTCGCCCTTCATCTCTCGCCTTTCGTCTGTCGCTTAAGCTTTATGTAGTTACCAAGTTGACGTAGTAGCTGACTAATTAGTCATAAAATTACATGACGCAGGACGACCAGCAGCTCGGCAACGATAACATGGGAGCAAGAGAGAATCCCACAAAGGCCCAGCAAACAACAGCCGAGCAGTCGAGCAGCCAAGTCAAAGTGCAAAGTGCCACCGGAAGCAGTTGGCGCTGGCGGAAATGCGTGCCTGTGTCCCAGCGATTGGTCTGGGCGATTGGGTGGTTACCCGCCGTTGGTTGCCTGACCCGCTTAAGAACTGGATGTGGATGCCAGGGGAMGGCGGGCGGGCGGGCAGGCAGTAAACTGAAACTGGTGTGTCACTAATTGCTGATTTCCCTCAGTTGGCAGCCGCAACTGCCACAGGAACTAGGTATGGACCACATGCAGCACACATGCAGTTTCAATATAAAAATACGAACTGTGAAGCCCTAAACGCGTGATGCATTAAAGCATACTAGTATTAAATGTGTCTGAAATTCTTGTCTATTGGCCATTGAAGCAGTTTTTAATAGGACTTTGAAGAGTAAGTGAGAGTAAGTAACTAATATTGGGAAGTGCATGACAAACTAGAGTAGGAAAGCTGATTTACTTTTCCTTAGGATTCAAGTAATAAAATTTCGTAAATAAAATATAAATATAAATATAAGTAATACAGTTAGTTTGGGTAATAAAATATGCAACTATACTTACTTATAAATTAAATAAACATGAAGTGCGTACATGCTGGCTAAGTCTTAAAGAGAATCTTCTCATCATTATATATTTGAAAAAATTATTTTTACCAACTACATTATATAAATAATAGGGGAAATTCTTATTAGCAGATCCTCTAAACTTCTACTGAGTGTAATATGTACCTCAAACCATGACTAAATTTAAAAGATAAACATTATAATATGAATTTTATAAATTTTCGAAATCGGCGTTTGGTACACATTTTTTTAACTAAACTTTATTTTTCTTACAAACAAATGCAAATTTATATTCAAATTAAATTAAATTTATATTTCTTAAGCCGTAAAAAAACTATCAAGCCCTATACTGAAAGAAAAAATACTAAAATATACTAAAAATACTGTAAATTTATAATAATACAAAACATAAGAAATATTTTCAAAGACATAGCAAATTTGTCCTCTTTAATTTGTACCAACTAATTTCAATCTTCAATCCTTATAGCATATTCACTCTTCGTCCTCTAACCAACTTCCGGCCATTTTGCAGCTGTTGCTTGGCTGCTTTCTTAGCTGACTGTAGGCCTTAATCCTGGAAAAAGATGGTCGTGTCGAATCAGTGGTAATTGATTCTGAATATCAGATTAGGCTGAACCACTTATGCTATGCTACGATTCAGCATAAATAAAAGTCAGTTTCCAGGTGGAATATATGACCTTTTGTGTAGGTAACACTTGAAGTGCCTTACCCCGTTATATATTCTCTAGTCTTATATCAAGCTCGTTATCGGAAAACACGATTCCACTTTCTACATTTTGCACGCGTCCATCTCGGGCTGGTTTTATTTATTCTGAAAGTGGAACAGGGACGGCTATGGGCTGCAGAAGAGAAAGTGATAAAGCCAGACAATGATAAGAATAGGAATTACAAAAGAGAGGGATAGAGAAAGAGAGAGTGAGAGAGAGAGCTGGTGGTACGGCCGCACATTTGCCACATCACTTATTAGCTTTATTGCTTTTAACAATTTGAGCTTCCGCTGCTCGGCAGCGCCAACTAAAACGTGTGCTGATTAGTGCCAGGAGTCGTAGCAGGAGCCGTGGAGCGGTTGCAATACTCGTTGTGTGGCAACGCCATAAATTTCTGTGGCGCAGCCAGGCTAGGGCGCGCCGCAAGTGCGGAGCAGCCCACGCAAAGAGCGGCGTATGCAACATTTAACATTGCAGACAATTTATAAGGACATTCATGGCACACGGCACAGACAGGAGGCGCAGAAAGAGGCAAATGCAGGGGCAGGAGCAGTGGCAGGGGCAGAGACAGTGGCACTGGCAGTGGCAGTGGCATAGGCGATGGCGATGGC